CCACGCACTAATGTTTGGTGGTATTTGTTTGTTCCTTCCCGTCTAATAAAATTACAACAACAAAAAAAAGCTAACTGTTTGCTCTTCACTGAGCAATGGTTAACCTTTTTTTATCTATGTTTATTCCTGGAAGTAAACTTATACATAAAAAAGTGCCTGAATGTGATAATATCATATTTCTGAAGTAAATACATTTTTCTAGATATATTTCTTATAAGTTACAGTGATCAAAATGGCTCTACATTACAGGAATGCCTCTATCCCACACACGGAGTGAAAGAGATCTGAGATGATCACACATATTCACCCCCTAAACACGGGGAGTGAAAGTTCACACACACTATTACCTTCACTCCTCCTGGAGCCGCTTCACAGCACTGCTGACTCATCCTGGTGCCTGTGTTTCCTCACGGCGTGATGTCCTTTGTGAGTCAGACGGCCAGATGTTTTAGGGAAACATTCATGTAATCAACTTCCCCCGTCTGCACGAATGACCATCTCAAAGATATGTTTGTGAGTTTCACACATAACTGACCAAGACTTTTGACACTGAATCATAATATCATTCAGGTCCAGGAATGATGGGTTGTCTGTGTCACAAAGAGGCTGATTATTTTTAGGAAAAAGACACATGCTTACAAGAGTCAGCCACCATGAATCAGTCTGTGAACGAGCCACAGGTTTATGAATCCCGAGATGTCATTCGTATACAGACAGAAAACTCATAAAGGTCTGTCCATCCAGTCTCATTAACTGCTGCAGGAGGTGCTGTAATCATGGATAAGCAAACATTCAGAGATTATAGTGTATGCGTCAGATGTCCAGTCTGTGATTAAGATAAAAGACACCCCATGTGAACCCCACAAGATCGTTCCTCACCGCATTTCCCGCTGTCAGTAAACTTACCACCCAGAACTTCGTATATTTGGCTCCAACCACCTTTACCACTAAAATCTGAATAATTTCCACCCACTTCGCCTGAGTTTTTCTCCATCATATCCTCCAAACCCTGTTCTGTCAGTGCCTAGCTTTACTCTCACCGACCCATTTTCTGTTTGTGATCCACAGTAATTAAAAAAATAAATAAAAGCTAGCTCATCTTCCTGTTAGTTGGATCCAGCAATTCTTATCTGTAATCTCCTGTCCCACTGCTAACTTGATGAACTGCTTTATTTCCTTTAGGTCTGTCACTATAAACTGCTGTTATCACTCCCGTTTTAAAGATCCTATGTCTAATCTTTCTGTTGTTTCTAAACTGCTGGAAAAAGTTGTTTCGCAGCTGCATTCTGTTGTCTATTTGATCCTTATCATTCTGGTTTTCACTTAGACCATAGGAAATCTTCTTCTGTCTGCTGACTCTGGCTGTCCTACCATCCTCATAATGCTTGGTTTAAGCACAACCTTTGACACCGTGTGCCATCACATGCCTATTTCTTGTCTTGCAGCTGTAGGCATCTTGGGTACTGCTCTTTCTTTGTTTACTGATAGACAACACTTCATTGCTGTCCCTGACTTGAAATCTTCCACTCCTCCTCCTCTCACTCAAGGTGTCCCACAGGGCTGTGTTCTTGGTCCTATTCTTTTCAATATTAACTTGTTACCCCTACTATCATGGTCTCAGCCACCATTGTTAAGCTGATAGCCTTTAAATCTACAATATATCTGCTTGTTCTGCCATAGCTCTCCATCACTACAGAAAGCTTCAATGGGTCAAAGCCAGCGCCAGTCCTCCCTATATGCAAAGTACTTATTGTGTAGGTCCCCTGAACCACCAGAGGGCCCCCTTGCTCTCAAAGACGATTTAATGACCAGACTAGAGCTTTGCAATTAATAGAGTTTTAGTTTCATGACTTCCAACAGTTATATATTCTTAATTCTGTTCACTTCCTTTAAAGCACTGCCTTTCCTTTAAACATCCACATCAGTCAAACAGTCTCCTGCCGGATATGCTCAATACTAAAAATGAGTTAAAAGTGTATTGAGCTGCAAAAATGATGCTGTTCCACAGAAGGCTTTCTGCACAAGAGGTTACTTCGGCCCTCAGTATCAATATATATTCAGTTCATACAGTAAAGACTACACAGTGCTTTATTTTTTACATTTGATTACTTTATTCAATTTCAACTCACTGTTGTTTGTTGACAGTGAAGCTGCTCTGAAGGAACACAGTAAGGGCTCACAGGTCTTTTTTTTTTTTTTTTAATATTCAAGGAATAATCAAAGGAACAGAGAACGGGTGTGAACTAATCATGAGCTATGGAAACAAACTAGTGGCAGGAAAATTAGACAGGTATATCTGTCAAATACATGTGACAGATATACAGTGCTTATATACATATGTGAGCCTGGAGCACAAAAGCAGTCTTAAGTCGCTGCGGTATATTTGTAGCAATAGCCACTTAAAGTTGGCATGAAAATAAATTCATCCTATGTATTTTGTAAATATCTTATTGTGGTTGATTCAGCCATGTCTAGCTTTTATTTATTTATTTATTGTGTAATGTTTAGTTAGTGAAAATTACAGATGACGTTTCCGTTTAATTGCAACTTTAACTACATTCAAATGCTGAGACAATTTGGCACTGCTACTCAGAATAAATACAACATATCTATATCTAGATTCGGAGGTTCTTAACCTACTGGAACTAAAGCCCCGCCAAGTCTCTCCAATCAAAAAGATTTTGGACATGATGGACAGCAGAAACCTGTAATCTGGTGTCACTCTTTGATTTGACAAACTGGACCTCCATATTGACTGATAGGTTTTTTTGCTGGGGAACTGAAGGGGCAAATCCAAGCAAATTAACTAATCTTTAGTAAAATAACAGCTGAATTGTCGTGTCAGTCCATCATCATGGTAAAGAACTGTGTTAAAGGCACAATATGTAAGATTTTTTTTATTAAAATATCCAAAAACCACTAGAAGTGTTATATCCCTCTGCTTTCCAGCCGTGTGTCGCACTCATTCAGCGCCTCGTTTCGCTTCGACGGCTTTCAGCCTCACCCTGCTTCATTCTACTACGTTAATAAATCATTAGCTCATCCATGAACATGATTTCTGCCCGAGTCCCATCGGATTGCATCGGCTGTGGGGCTGAAGACCAGAACTCCCATGATTCCACACTCAGTCACGGAGTCATCAAACTATGCCTTTGTCTCTTTGTTTATTTAGAATACGCGCCCTCTAGCAGCGAAAATTACATATTGTGCCTTTAATCAAAGGAGATATATATCCCCGACTCGTGCAGACAGTCAGCGAAGCTGGGAAACATTTTAACATTTTATTTATCAACCGATCATACCAAATGAATGTCTCATAAAGTGATTCAGTTTATAGAGATAATAAAGTAGGCAGGTGCAGGTCACAATATAAATTTTTTTGTTTTTTTTAAGTGTTTTAAGTTAATTGTGGGCTTGTTCTCATTTGCTTTTTTTTCCAGCAAGATCTGGCAACACTAATGAGTTAAGACGTACCACTTTCTCTGTGATTTCTAGAACTGCGTATACAGCAGAGAGACACAACTCTGATACACATTTGAATATGTCATTAAGCACTAGCTGTTCAGTTCGTTTCTGTACACACTGCGTAGAATTTCTGTAAAATGTGGTTTCTCACTACCTGCATTTTTTTTTTTTGCATTTTTGTTAATTCAGTTGTAGACTGCAATTGTCACTCCTGTAAATGTGTACAGCAACTGAACTGACAACTGAATTTAGCTGCAGTGTGTACGTCTCAATAGACATATGCTGTGACTTTCTGTAAAGCTGCTTTGAAATGTTGTGTATCGTGAGAAGTGCTATACAAATCACTCACACTTGTCTTGACGTAGGTGATGTTGTTGCAAGTACTCTTCCCTCTTAATGTGAATTCTGTTGGTGCATTTCTTTTCCTATCATCTTAACCACTGGTGCATGCGAGGGAAGTTGGTACATTGTCTGTAACCTGTTAGTTAGGTAGGGAAGCATGTGTAATTAGTTCATTGTTCGAGTTCCAGGTTACCAGCCTTTAATTTCAGTTAGAGTTGTTTTGCTATTTATTTTGGCCTTGTTCCCCCCCAAAGTCTGCTATGTTGCTCCCTATTAAGAGTTATTTGTTTGTTTTGTTGAGAAATTAATTCCTTATGTTATAAAAGAGGTTGTGTGCTTAAATTCTGGGAAGTGAGAGTGGTTTGTTTTTCATCCTAGATGCAAAGTTAAAAATGTAAAAAAATGTTTTTAAAAAAGTGTAAAAGGGATGCAAAATCTGTTTAAATCACTGGACTGTCTTGTCATTCACTTAAACAATTGTTTTATGATAAAATGTCATAAAACAATTAAAAAACAACGATAACACCAAGTATCAAACAATATAGAGATGAATCATAAAACCCATAAAAACTGATGTGACTTGTTTTTATCCACACACTGGCAACCTAAAGGGTAACAACTCATCTCTATAATGTAGCCTATGTATATTATATTGTCGGTTTAAAGAAGAGAAACATCCAATATTTAAAATTTGTTTTAAGTTTTTATTATGAAAAGTATAGCCTACCTTTTTAAAAGCTCACATAAGCTACTCAGTATTTAAGATGAAGTAGCCTACCACAGGCATTAATCTAACCATCTAAAATACTGCCAACATGATTTATAAACATTTTGTGTTTAATGTAACAAATGAAAAAAGCAAATAATACGAAGCATTAGTTATGACCCACTCAACCCTGTAAAATAGCGCTGTTGCGCCCCCTACAGGCTCAACCAATAGCCTACACATACACAGCTGATTATTAGCTCAAGTTGTAATTTCAGAAGTGTCGTATAGTTCTACTTCACTCATTTAACCACGACATCTTCTTTTCTAATTTATAATTCATTGATTTTTTAAAATTAATTCAATTAAATTAATGTTGACAGTGAAAATAAAGTGATTGGCAACATTTTGCAAATAACTTGCACACGTTCATATTATATACAAATATGTAACCGGTTATAATTCTTGTAATGAGGTGTTGTGTTGCTCTGGATTGTTCTAGACTAGAAGTTCGGCGAACAGCGTTTCACGACCCTCGTGCAGGGGTTTGCGACAGCTCTCCGCGCGCACACGGCAGCATGACGGAATACGGCAGTGAGAAGATGGCGGAAGAAGAGCGGAATGCCAGTGCAGAGAAACTCAAGGAGAAAGCGAATAACTACTTTAAAGGTAAAAGCTTGTCAGATATCTAGTGTAAATAAGAGACGGGGTTGATATTGACAGGATAGGGCTGCGCGGGATGAGTTTGTCGCATCGTGAGCGTTATAAGAGGGAAATGTGTGTGAGGTGAGCATGAGCAACACATGATGAATCAGGCAGACTCACACTTTCTGTTTACTCGAGGAGAGACGCGATAACATGATGTTCTCTCCTGAGCTGTCAGTCTAGACGTGATTATGCTGTTTCAGTCACCTCTGCAATCTCTGAGAACAGCACATTCATATTGTTACACGGCCGTGAACTCATTGCTCGTGATTTATGACACTCACTCAATGGCGCAGATCTGTCCTCATTCATGGATGCACTTTATTTGCATTTTATGTCTGCACTGTTCATATCGTTTAGTCTTGAAAAATCAAGTATTTTCTTATGTTCATCTTCTGCAGATTTCCAAAGAACGTTAAACATTAGTTTAACCGTGGCATGTTTCTAGCATCTAAAATAAATTAATCAAATAAATAAGTTACATGACCCAGTGCAGTAAATGTTGTTCATTTTCACACAGTTTAGTCCTAATTATTTTTTAAATAATTTTTACTCATTTATTATGTCTGTAGTAGTTTATAACACCTCTTTACATTTTTCAGACATGTTTGTATGTGTATATATATATATATATATATATACTGAACTATAACTACCAAAACAAAATTATTAAAACTTCACCTAAATTTAAAATACAAACTGATTCAGAATACTAATAAAACTATAATAGTATCTCAATGATACTAAAATAACTCTGTGGTAATGTATGCTAAAATGTACTTACTAATAACTTTTAAGTAATAATTTCTAATGACTTAAATCTCTGTCTAAAAACCCTCTTAAAACTTATTGGGATTGTCAATTTGGTAAGTCTCTAACATCATTAAAATGTGACCGTAACATTTTAGTTCGATATAGTTCAATATTTTGCTCATTTTTAGGCACTTATTGACAGTGTTGAATCTTTCTTCAAAAGTGGCGTATACACAATGCTTTGTGATGTATTATGATTCATATTCATTAATAGTCTCCTGCTGTTATTTCAGATAAAGACTATGAGAACGCCATCAAGTATTACACGGACGCGCTGGAGCTGAACCCCAGCAATGCCATCTACTACAGTAACAGGAGTCTGGCGTACCTGCGCACCGAGTGCTATGGCTATGCTCTGGGGGACGCCACGAGGGCCCTGGAGCTGGACAAGAACTACATTAAGGGCTACTATCGGCGAGCCACCTCCAACATGGCCCTGGGCAAGTTTAAAGCAGCACTCAAAGATTACGAAACGGTGAGACTCGGTATATTCTCAGCACTTTAATACAGTGTTTTTAGATACATATTGATGCACTGAAGTTTCTGCATCCAGAAATATTCAGCTGAAACAGCAATTTCTGGTTTTCTGTTGATATATAATTAGGGGTTGCACCGACTAGTCGACTTCAATGCTATGCCATGACGCTTTAAGCTTGACGTCGACTAGTCGCTGGTCCTATAGATGGCGCAACAGGATAAGAAATCTTTGAAGGACTTCCACATTTATGCTCCGTTTCCAAACAGTTCAAATTACAAATAAATGCATACTCTGAAAGCGCTCCAAAAGACGTGTGTGTGATTATATTACTGGATGCTCGAAATTGAACGGGAGAATGCACGTTTTAAACAGCTTGTTGTACAGGTAAGTTAATCGCCGTTCTAATCTAATGCGCTGCTGCACTGTAACGCACACACATTACAGACAGTAGCTCGTACATCACGCGCACAGAATCATTCAGCGCGGAAATGTATTGTCAACACTGTTCTGTGATTTCTCAATAAAATAGCTTAGAAACTGAAAAGTTCAAGCATATATTTCTTAATAACTAAATTCCACAGCTTCACTATTAGTAGAGAGACGCTGCCAGGTAGAATTAATTCACACACGCAATCGCTCTCACTAATGCATTCATATGAATGTAATCTTTACTGTGCTACTTTATCTGTATCTGATTTAGAACGAGCAGAAATCTGTGAGAAACATAACGACTGAAAGACAAAAGAACTGATAAAAATGGGCTGTTATAGGAGCAACAGCCATGTGGGCAGCGCTGCCTCATATGCCATAGCTGTGCACAAGGTGTTTGTCACAGCTCCAGACTTATTTGCTCATTAATGACGTCATCAGCGACTAGTCGACTTCGACTCGACTGTCATCACATAAAAGTCGACTTTAAAAAATCAGAAGTCATTCAACCCCTACTGCCATCATCCAAGAAAAAAACACAACATTCAAAAAGCTTGTAGACTCCAAATGATCCTAAGGTCCATATCTCATCTTCTCCTAAATACAAATTTCATGGACATTTGAGTAGTCTGAGAGGTCAAAAGGTCAGAATACTAAACGCTTTGAGCCTTGCAGGAAAGTTCAATTGCTGTCTGAATGAATATGAATATTTTATTACCTGATGAATCCAAGTGGAAACAGGACACCAGCTTCACACATCTTCACATGACTTAGCTAGCACTGACTATAAAAAAAGTCTTGAATTTTTACACTATTTTACTTTCTCATCAGTCACAGTGAGACATAAAAAAACACATTTTAACATTTTAGATAATGTCGCCCATCAGTAGCTCCAGTGTGATAACATGAACATAGGCCATGGAAAATGAAATCTGATGAGCTATTGAAGGCTATGTGTATCCAAGTGTAGAGGTCTTTTTGGTGGACTTTGTGCTTCTTCATTAACTTTAACTGCGCTTAAAAGCTGTGATGTGTAAAAACACAAGTTTCAATGTTTAATGTAACGTAATTAAAAGTTTTATCTTACAAGGTTGTGACCTAACATGTTCGTTGTCTGGCCCAGATGAGCTCTGATAACAGTATTTGTATACTGTAGGCTGAGACGAGTAGAGCTCCACTGCTTGAATCAAAGCCAGCCCATTGGTTCAATCAATCAATCAATCAATCCACTAGTTGTTGTCAGGTTAGATTAGGTAAGGGGGAGCTTGGAGGACAAAGCCCATTCACAAGGGTTTGGTTTCACAAAGATCTGCTCACTGATTTCCACCCGAACAATGGAGAAATGGAAGAGCTCTCAATAATTGAACAGACTGGTGGCATTACGCAACAGGCCTTACGAGTGGGCTGCCAGAGGGAAGAGTAGTGAAGCGAAAGAGAGGATGACCCAGGGAACGGGCGCCTGGGAACTTGTGGGAAGAAGGTCTGTGGAAAGATTTCAAATTTAAGTGTAAAATGATGCTATATGGATGCATCCTGTCACAAAGGTCATTACGGTGCTTTCTGTAGCACTGTGATTTCACAAGTAAAGCCCTCCATGAATTTGTGCTCCTCCTGCTGTGCTTCCCCATGTGTGAGCATATGTCGACATAAAAGACGTCTTATTTTTAGTCTAATCTACAATAACTTCCAGAATGCCTGTGGTAAAGAGCACAGCAGCTTTTAGTCAGTGCGTTTGCGTTAGGTTGTGCGTCTCTGGCCATATGTGCGCAAACATACACGCTCGTTCTCCCCTGTAGGCGTGCAGGCCCCAGTTTCGTTGTTTTGTGGCTGAATCACTAGCTCTTCACTCCCTCTGCTCTTTTCTGCCTACCTCTCTTTCTTTTTTCACTCTCATTTTTATTCTCTCTCTCTCTCTCACCCCGTCTCTTCAGGTCTGTATATTTTTCCTCCCACGCCATCACAGCTCCAGACTTATTTGTTCATTAATGACGTCATCAGCGACTAGTCGACTTCGACTCGACTTTCATCACATAAAAGTCGACTTAAAAAAATCAGAAGTCATTCAACCCCTAATATATATATATAAATATGTGCTAGGTCATTGTTAGGAAAGAAAACATCTCTTTTTTAAATCAGTGTTGACTTGTCATTTCTTATATGAAAATAATCAAAGTATATAGGGCTGTGTGAGAATACATCCAAAGCTGTGGCATGAAACTCTAGATGGCACAGTCAGAAAGGTCTGACTCAATCTGACATCATCACATGGTGCCGCTGATTGGTTATTTTTGTAGCAATTGCAGCTTGCTTCAGAAATCCTCCACCTTCCCCAGCTCCACCTGTATAGATCTGCTACGGGGTGATCATGTATGCTATATGGGGGTTATTCATACGTGTTGTATGTGCAGCAGCAGTATTTCTTACATGCTCACAGCAGCATGTTGTAGATGTATTGGCAGCAAGTCTCTGTACTTGCTCTGCCACCGCAACATTTAGCTCAGCACACAAACTTGACTTACTTTTTTAAAATTAATTTATTCATTTTTTGTAAATGTTTTGTGCGCTGTTGTCTTTTCATTGCTAACAGGTAGTTAGAGTTCGTCCCAGTGACAAAGATGCCAAGATGAAGTACCAGGAGTGCAATAAGATTGTCAAACAGAAGGCCTTTGAACGGGCCATCGCCAGCGACGAGCTCAAGAGATCAGTCGTAGACTCCTTAGACATCGAGAACATGAGTAAGTGCTTGGAGGAAGTTTCAGTTATTAGGAGCAAATTATGCTTAATCACAAGCAATCGACCCTAAACATAACCTTACATGTTATTATAAGCAATCATCTCAATACTTATTTGTGTAATTACACTGTAACAAGGACACCTTAAAATGAAGTGCAAATGATTTTTTTTTTTGTTCTTGTCTTATTTCCCAATATGCTCAGAGCATTTACGCAAAATGCTGATGTTATTTTCAAAGAAAAATGATAATATTGTAGCAATAAGGTGACCTAAGAAAAATGCTAATAATAGGGTCAGCTATTATGAATTTTTTTGTACAATGTTTTGTTTCGACAGGGCAGCAAAAGTGTGTGGTACTGAGAAATTATATGACATTATGTCTTTTCGTTGACCTGTTGCGAAAATGAAGAAAATAACTGGACAATTCTTTGCAGTTGAAAAAGATTTCAGAATATAAATTATTGATGATTTTTTATGATTTAGAGATCCTATGATCGTTTTTTTTTTTTAAATATATGTTCTCTTCCACCAGCAATCGAGGATGACTATGATGGACCTAAACTTGAAGATGGGAAGGTTACACTGAAGTTCATGAAAGACTTGATGGCCTGGTTCAAAGACCAGAAGAAACTGCACAGAAAGTGTGCTTACCAGGTGAATGCTCTTCAAATACATGCACACAGATCTTGAAACATAACTGTGTTCATCTGTTATTTATTTACTTAAGGCTGGGCGATATATTGGTCATATGTTCCTATGTGTTCCTATGATATGATCATAATGTTCCTGTGGCTCAGTGGTAGAGCATTGCGTTAGAAGGTCGTGGGTTCAATTCCCAGGGAACACACATACTGATTAAAAAAATGTGTAGCCTGAATGCACTGTAAGTCGCTTTGGATAAAAGCGTCTGCTAAATGCATACATTTAAATTTATATTGAATAAACCTATAGAAATGTATTGCGATCACGCACTCAAAGTGGCCACACATAAAGTTGCACAGTGTCTGAATACTGAATTGATTTCTTCTTCATGGCTTATTGTGTTTAAATGGTCAAATGCTAACAAAATATGTCAGAATGCCTGTCTGGGTGAGTATACTCATAAACAGAGTCAGCTTTGTCTTAAATGAGTTTAAACAGTTGGGTAAAAATAGAATGTGCCTAAATATATTAGATCCATGCATTAGCTCTTAAAGTGACAGCAGCCTAATATATCTGCTTCCATCTCTGACTTTAATGTTAATCAGACAACAGAAGACAAAAAGAAAGTCACTCACTATAATTACACCGTAAACACGGCGTTGTCTCAAGAAATATCTGCGTACACACGAAACCACTGAAACCGACTGATGTAGTATACATGCCAGACCAGTATGTGGCGCTGTAATTCTGCCACAGAGATACACTAAAAACAGAGAAGAAGACTTGGAGCATGCTCATGAACCTTGCGTGCTGTATACAAACCCAACACAACAACAAGAAAAGCTAGTAAAGTTAGTAAAGCAAATAGGCTCAGTAGCTTCTGCAGCACGAACACAAGCATGTAGTCCGCCATTGTTGTTGTTGTTGTTGCTGTTTCACAAAATATACGGATAGGCCGTACACATGAAAACGCAAAGGTGTTTTCAGATTTATCCACTCTGGGACCCGGTTTAAAAAAATAGCAGTTTCAGGCTGCAAAAAAGCCGGATGCGTCTGGACAAAACGCCAACACGATACAACATTTTCATGTATACAGCTAAACACGTCTCCTTGTGGACTGGGCCTGAGTAACTTCTCTGGCTGTAATAAAAAATCAATGTAGATTTAATTCATACAGTCAAGTTGTTGTTGTTTTTTCCATTTAATGATTCAGTTTCTGTAGTCATTTCAGATTATTCTCATTTCTAAAAAATAGACCTTCCAACCAACCAATAAACAAACAAGCATAGTTATTTAATTCAAATAAACACCACAATGACTTGGAGGACAAAAGGTTTTCAGAATGTAATACTATTTTTAAAGATTTTTTACATTTGGCTACAGCCATATCACCCTGCAGCCCAAGACTGGTCACCCGCTGAAGCTAAGCAGGGTAGAGCTGGTCAGTACCTGGATGGGAGACCTCCTGGGAAAACTAGATTGCTGCTGGAAGAGGTGTTAGTGAGGCCAGCAGGGGGTGCTCACCCTGTGGTCTGTATGGGCCCCAGTGTAGTGACGGGGACACTATACTGTCAAAAAAAAAAAAAGATGACACATTAACCCAAAGTGCCTTTCATGGAAAGATGTGTGTTCAAGTCATTGTCTTTGCATTTTTAATTTATTTTTGAATAAATCAATAGATCCCACAACACATTCTTGTCATTGACTCTTTCAGATGCTGGTCCAAGTTAAAGAAGTTTTATCCAAACGTCCAAGTCTTGTTGAAATTACATTAATAGAGGTAAGAGGATAGAATGAGTGTTCTGTTTCCAGAGACTTCTGTCACTAAAAAAGCTAGAATTCTATTTCTGTCTTTTCTTTGTTGTTTTTGTCCTTATAGTAATTTCCTGTGGTGATAAATTGATATTCCGGTTCTCACTGTTGATTTCTCTTGTTGTTTAGACAGAGAAAATAACTATTTGTGGAGACACACATGGCCAGTACTACGATCTTCTAAATATCTTTGAGTTGAACGGTTTACCATCTATAACTAATCCTTACGTATCCTTTTCCTTTCGGGTCTGTGATGTTGTCATGCCTGCTCTCGTGAGTATGTAATTTAATATAAATTGTTTCATTGAATAATATTATATTAAATGATTAAAGCATCACCTTAGTGATGATTTTATAAATGCCATATATGCACATTTTTTCCCCCACTGAGATCCAGTGAATTAGTCTTGACTTCAGGTTCTCAGCTGTTCAATGGTGACTTTGTGGACCGCGGCTCTTTCTCTGTAGAAGTCATTCTCACGCTGTTTGGCTTCAAGCTGCTCTATCCAGAACACTTCCACCTGCTTAGAGGTGAGGACACACCAGTGTTTCCTAGTACAGGTTCCCAAACATGCTTGTGTGTGATGGATAAATGTCATGATCTGAAATGTCTTTTTTGTGAAGGTAACCACGAGACGGATAACATGAATCAGATGTACGGCTTCGAGGGTGAGGTGAAAGCGAAGTACACCGCCCAGATGTTCCAGCTCTTCAGTGAGGTCTTCCAGTGGCTTCCTCTCGCACAGTGCATCAATAACAAAGTGCTGGTATGACACGAGGCCGGCCATCAGATTCAGCATTTATACCACTTTGTATTTTTGTCTTTGGATTCGAGTATGAGCTGAATTGTGTTTCAGGTGATGCATGGAGGACTGTTTAGTGAGGATGGCGTGACCTTAGATGACATTAGAAAGATAGACAGGAACAGACAGCCTCCAGACTCTGGTAAGACATGTCTGATATCGCACGAAAATTTTGTTCATGTCTGAGCTTATGTGGTCCTGCATAGATAGGGCTGTGTGATATGGCAAAAAAAAAATCTTCATTTTTATTTTATTTTTTTCCCCAGAACGTTTAAATGGTTCAAGAAAACAAATGTAATTAATTAAAAAAAAAAACATTTAACTAGTCAACTTAAGAATATAACCACAACTTGATTCAAGCAACATTAGCTAATTTAACTCTTGCGCATAACTGGAATATCGCACAACATATTTACGAATAAAGCACTGTTTCTATCCAATGAGTTGAAGAGAACAAAATAGTCACTTCCTGATTAACTTGCGCTAAATATCATGAAGAAAAATTAAGTGCCCCTATTATGGATTTTTAAAAATGACCTTTCATGCAGTGTGTAACACAGCTCTAAGTGAATGAAAACATCCTGCAAAGTTTTAAATCTGAAAGTGCACCGTGTATAAAGTTATTGTCTCTCGAAAGAAAGAGTCGACTCTGAATCATTAAAGCTTCAGAGCGTGCAGACGAAACGTGGTCAGGTTATCTTATTTTCGGAGCATGCTGTTTGGGAATGCAGTTCTGGGAGTTAATTATAATGAAGCACTTTGGCGAGACTTTGCGCAAGCATTTTAGAATGACAAAACTAGCATTTCAGATGCTGTGCAATGAGATTTTATGCTGTCCCATTGCAAAGTCACGTCTTTTTTGATGAGCATAGAGGAATTTATTTGGTAAAAGTGTTTCCATCGTAGTTTATGCGCATTTTTTTTTTCTTATCGGATAAAAAGTGTATTCTACTCAATTGTGCGCACTTGTCTTTTTTTATGCACATTTTTAGAATTTATGCGCGTCTTGGTGTTTCCATCCAGCGTTTTTTAATGCGATATTCCAAAATGCGCATAAAAATAGTTGGATGGAAACAAAACCATCTGGTTAAAGATGATTTTATTCAAAGTATAGGACATATGAAGTGATCAAAATGACGTAAATTCAAGACAAATTCACTTAAATATGGCAAATAGTGTACAAACTTGTATGTTTAGAATAAATCTAAATATAAAAAAAGCTAAATATTAGTGCTGTCAAACGATTAATCGCGATTAATCGCATCCAAAATAAAAGTTTTTGTTTACGTAGTATATGTGTGTGTAATGTGTATATTTATGATGTAATTAAAAACTTTTATTTTGGATGTGATTAATCGCGATTAATTGTTTGACAGCACTACTAAATATTTTTAATCCAAAATGTAGACATTCAGTCATTTAGAGGTCAACTCAAAAAGTCAAGGCAATTCTATTTCAAAATGACTAAAAGTATAACACAAGTAGACTAATATTAACAGTAAACATTTAAAAAAACAACAACAAAAAAACGCAGCTTTCATCCTGTCACCATCACACAAGCATGAAATACTGTGGTAGTTTATCTTCTGTGTAACGTGTTCAATGTGCTCGCGTTTTGCATCTTTTGCTGCATCTCGTTTAAAACTGCGGTCTGAAAGCATGACTCAATTGTGTCTCATAACCTTGAGTATTTCCTGTTCCACTGTCTGCATCCCATGTTTTCCAACGCATTAAGGCACAGTCTGTGTAAATAGCCACAAAATACTAGCGATATGTTCTACGTGATGATTCTTATAGAGCATGTCACACGTGAGCAATTCATCAGCTGCGCAGGCATGAGGTTGCATCATTTTTTTCTCGTAACTGATATACCAGTGGTTTATTGTCATTGTGTCTAATTGTAACGTTTTATAGTGTTTTTATTCAAAACCCTGATTCAAGTCAAGTCAAGTCACCAGGATTCCTTGATTTCCTCAATAAATTAAATTGTGGCAAACCATAACATTCAAAGTAATGGATAAAATCTAAAAACATTTCCAACCCTAATGTATATACAATGAAGGAACACTGGTAATATTTAATAATAGAATCCTAATTCAGGCTACGTTTACACGACAACGATGTAGTAAAAAACGGAAACGTTTTTAAAAAGGTTCACGTATACACGACAGCGTTTTCAAAACAATTCGCGTTTACACACATCCGCGAAAACGGCCAAAAACGCTGTATTACGTATGCCAGGCCAGTAGTTGGTGCTGTTACCTTGTTAGTAAACAGTACCTGTTGCCGTGTGTATATGATGCGCCTCCGCTGTTGGTTGTAATATTGGTGAAGTAAATCCACACTTTGCTGAAGAAGCGTTAGCAAACTCTTGAGCAGCAACAACACTACCATGTACTCCGCCATTGTTGTGTATGTTAGTTTGTGCTTGCCTTTAAAATCAACACGTACTGCGCATGTCTACAGTAGGGATATGCCGGTATCAAATTGTCATGTTGCGATTAATTGCTAATGCGTTTATCACGGTATACATTATTATCACGATATTTAAATTTAGTTTTAAAAAAAATGTCATAATACAGTATAATATTTTTCTTATAACAAAAATAACTGAACATTTAAATGCAGTAAAGCAATACAGAAAAATTTATAAAGTTAATGTATAATATACTGTATAAATGTATAAGTTTTACACGGATTAAAGTGCAAAAGGACTATAAAGACCAATAGGTATCACTTTACAATAAGACCTCATTAGTTAACCTTAGTTAATGCATTAACATTCACAATGAGCAATAGCTACATTTGCTACAGAAGTTATTAATCTTTGTTAAAAAATACAAGTCTTAGTTCATGTTAGCTCCAGTTGATGGGAAAAGTATTCTTAAAATGCATTAAAAATTCTGAATAATTTGTAATATATAATTATTCAAGGTATTTAGAAGTGCCCACGATAACAATATCATGCATATTAATTACCGTGATATATCGCATTACCGAATACCGGCACAAGTCTAGTCTACATACCTAACACGTACTACGCACGCGCCTGACGTCACCGTTTTCAAAGATCCTCGGTATTCGGTGTTTACACGGAAACGACAACGGTGGCGTTTTCAAAAACTTCCACTTTGAAACCCGTTTTCAAAATTATGCGTTTTCAGTCCCCAAAACGCCGTTGTCGTGTAAACGAACAGACAAAACGCATAAAAAGTTTCCCGTTTTTGGCTGAAAGCGTTGTCGTGTAAAAGGCCCCCAAGTTATTCTCAGAAAGCCCTGCCAACCACACACCATGCTCTAGCATTGTGTTATGAAGTGTTGCACCACTTACATTTTCATTGGACAATGTAGAACTCAAGTTGTATTTTGTATCTTTCTCGCGCAGGTCCAATGTGCGATCTCCTGTGGTCAGATCCTCAGCCGCAGGTCAGTTCTGTTCCCCTCCTTCTGCTAAGTGAAGGGTTTCGGTCACAGCTGTGTTTGAGCGATGTGTGTTCTCCTCCAGGACGGACGGTCCATCAGCAAGCGGGGTGTGAGCTGTCAGTTTGGGCCTGACGTTACGGAGCGCTTCCTGGAACAGAACAAGCTGCAGTACATAGTGCGCAGTCATGAGGTGAAAGCCGAGGGTTACGAGGACACTCACTCAGGGAAGTGCATCACCGTGTTCTCCGCGCCAAACTACTGGTACGGAAACCTCTCGCTGTCCTTATCAGTGCATCATGAGATTTGTATTAATGAATGAGCTTCCAATTAAGCAAGAGCCATAAAAACATCTGGGTGTCAAGAACATGTCCTGGTCGTATTGTACCCCCAAAAAAGAAAATTATATTCTGCGTAAGCCTGATTAGCACTGCATTAAGCCTAAGCCTGATTACTAAATGATCGTCTAATGGCGATCAGCGTAATTTTGGTCCACGTTATGTGGTTCGCTAAGAATATGGTACAAAGAGCTGATGTAATGTGCCACATTTAGTCAATTTAAAACCAACGACTTTTTGAATTATCAGTTACAAACGATGGAAAATGTATGATTTAATGCAGTCTTATTGAAAATAAACTGTGTGTTAGAACATGTTGTGGTCATGTGTCTGGATATATGTGCATATTCACGACTCTTTCTTTTCTGTGTGCTTCTGTTTTGTTTTTAGTGACCAGATGGGAAATAAAGGAGCTTACATTCATCTCAGGGGATCCGACCTCAAGCCAGAGTTCCACCAGTTTACTGCTGTGGTCAGTGGAGTTTCTTTTTTATGCATTTTATTTACATTTACATTCACTCATTTTTAGGGGTGAACATTCATCACTGATATATCAGCCCATATGTGGCATATTTTCATTATTGCATTGGCTGATAAGTTTTTCTGTTTGGCCGAAGCATGACTTTTGTTTTGACTGTGCTGTGAACGTCAGCGTCTCCTGTTCTTCATCTTCATTAGTTTACTGTCTCTGTTGAACAGTTTTAGTTATAGATTAGAGAGTAAACAAAGAAAGTAATCAGTAAATGAAAAAGTATTATAGCATTTGCTTTTCTTGAAAACCAAATGCTGTAACACTTTCTCAACTACCCTCAGCGTTCAGCAAATGCACATCATTTAAATAGCATTTAAACAAGTCTTTGAATATCGAATAAATGTTTAATTTCACAAACCTTGCAAACTTTGTCAAATCTAGTGTGCACTTGTAGACTGCATGAAAACAAGTGTGCATGATGGTCCATGCGAATTGGATGCAGACATGAGACTTTGCTGTTTTTGTGAAAAATAGTATAATCGGATTACAGAATCAAGAAGTTATTTTTTTTTCATAATTCAATTTTTTTTTTCATATTTAATTCTTTTAAATAATTTCTAACAGTAATTATTATTATAATTATAATAAAAATATAAATATAGTTATAACTAGTGGTCGACCGATATATCGGCCGATATTTGCCATTTTTCAAATATCGGCATCGGCTGATAAGTTTTTCTGTTTGGCCGATGTGTTCGAGGCGGGACTTTTATTTTGACGGCATGTCTGACTTTTATTTTGACGGCGCTAAGAGCGGCAGCACCTGAACACACAGTGCTCACATTCTCCCTCTTGTTCGCCGTCGTTGTAATACGGATAGAAGTCTGTCTAATAATCGGATAGAGGTGTTAAACAAAGGAATTAAAATGTAGGCCTATGCAAAAAGTATTATAACGATTGCTTTTTTATTATTAGTAATAGAAAGGCAAACATTATAATACTTTCTCGTTTGCCGTCAGCATTCAGCAAATACGCATTTA